TACCTCCTGATGAGTCGGTGAAACTCCGACGAAACAGTTTGTCACAGCCCCTCGTTTGTTGTCCTCTTCTCTCTCTCTGCCTACGGTTTACCGGGCAGTTCTGTTTGTGACGATATATATGTATATATATATATATATATATAGTTGTGTGTGCCTGTCTCTGGCGCGTGCTGTCCACGCATTGGCCTGCTTCTACATGCCAGTGTGCTACTGGCCATGGAAGATAGCGTTCGCGATTGTGAGTAAGCAGGTGCAACAATATGGCCTTAAATGCACTTCTCAAGATCACGAGTGCTCCCTCGAAGTCCAGGAACAGGTGTGCGATCGTGAAAAGGCAGCATATAGTTTGTTGGAGGAGTTTCTGGATTGAAATTGGCGCCAAATACGGATTATTTTTCTCTTTCATTTGCAGTCTTTCGTTTTGGAGCTGTACCCAGACCAAAACTTGTGCCATATACATCCTTTCCTCTTTTGTTTGTTAGTCTTTCGTTTGCAGCTGTTTGCAGACTGAAATTTGTGGGATATAATCCGATATACATTTTTTTTTTCTCTGCCATTTGTAGTCTTTCGTTTGGAGCTGTATCCAGAGTGAAAGCTGTTCCAGATACATTTTTTCTTTGTTGTTTTATACCGCCTTTTGTCTTTCGTTAGCTGCAAACTGTTGAAATAGAGCCCTGCGCTTAAACGTACTTGGTGCCCTGGGCCACACAGTCGTTTTTGTTTCACGCTGCGCGCATGATCCACGTGACCACAAGGCCTGGCTCGGCCCAGGCGGTATAAGAAAACAAAGGAAAACTGTATATGGACACAAGAGGTTAACGGGGCATCTGGTTTTCAGGCCTGAAATTTCTGAAATTAGGTTTTTGGGCTCAAATTTCATGTTTTTTTTGGATTTCAAGTTTTTGCTATATATGCATTTTGATAGGGTTGCCATATATGAAATTTGGGGTTATTTGGAGTTTTAGAATTTGCGCTATTAAGATTTCTGAAATTTCTGAAATTGGTCGAGTTTTTTTTGGGCCAAATTTCATGGAAATGCACCTTTGGCTCGCTCAGTCATTTCACTGCCAGCTGCATGGAGCATGTATGTTTGCTGAGAGCAGGTTAACCGAGCACCCATTTTTCAGGCCCATTTGTCTCCTCTCAGTCACCATCATCAGCTAAGCTGTCAACAAACTCTGCACCGTCCTTTGAGACACCCTCATTAGCCTCGTCCTCGGCAAGCACCTGACGGTCAACAGCATGTGTGCAGCAAATGTCTTCCCCCATCTCCCTCAGCAGCCATGTCCTCATGCTCGAGCTGATCAACTGTCCCTACTGTTACCACTGCGTGATGCAGACGTCCTTGAACTCGTTTTGGCCAATCAGGGATTCTACTGCGCTTAGCTCATTAGCGCGTCATCCATGTCAATGCCCCGAGGTAACATGGCCTGTCTCCTCAACCACCCTGCGATATGCGCAGGTTACTCTCCTCAGCCACCTGTCACAGTACCCGGGTTACTCTCCTCAACCACCCTGCAATATGCGCACAGATTTCAGTAACCATCATTGGAATCAATGGTGTCATTGGAATCGATGGTGACAAGGGCACTACCTGTCTCCAGTGCACAGTATGTCATATGTTATGTCGAAGTGCTGAGCAAGTCTATTCTCCAACTTGGAAATGACATGACCTCCACAAACTGAAAGCGCCTCAAGGACAGCCTCAGTGATCACTGAGTTACACTAACGGAGCTACACTGTGCAACACTAGCAGAAAGTGTCCCAAGGACTGTCTCAGAGTTTCGCGTGGCATCCAACAACTCACACAATGTGGTGTGGAAGCTGTGTCAGCAGAGGACAATATGGCTGAGCAGAGATGCACCGAGGACGATCCAGCAAGAGGTATTATGCACAATACTGCATCTGTGAGCAACAATAGATCTCAAACTGAAGACTGTGCACAACAGCATACCAGAAGCAACGTTTTTATTTTTCCTCTTTTCTAATCAAAAGGTTAACTCTTTTATAGATAAGACTGGAAAACAGGTCCAGTGTCCCTTGCATCAGATGCGCACTCCACGCTTCCCTTCGTTATGGCCAAGGGACCCTGAGGCAGCACCATTGATTACTTCCTATACCACGAACGATTTTACCACAGGCAACGTATGAATATGTGGGGGAAGGACAACCTCACAGAAAAGATATGCAACAGCATCACGAGAAGGCAGTAGATGTGATTTGTCGCCCTGCCACACGAGAGACCTAACAAGGCTCCAAACTTCATTCTCTGATCAAATGGCTCATCCTCACCTGCAACAGCGCTTGCTCGTCTTCTATGGGGCTTTGGCTTCCTTGTCCTGGATGCAGCACTGTCCCATCCACCCGGGGCCGAGAACCTTGACACGTGAGCATGGCTATGCCAGCCTCTGAGCACCGTTGACCATCTAAACAAGGCAGCCCACGCAGCCCTTGCCTGTCTCACAAAAAAGGTGGTGAACATGGGTCTTGCTTCTCCATGGCCAACGGTCTTGCATCACCTTGCCCCTCAGCTTCTGCAAACCTATAGTGAGTCCAGTAATATCCAGGTTTGTCCACCATCAGATGGACACCCACAACGAGGATTTCAACCTCCCCGAGGTTTCATGCTTTCTCGTGGCCAAGGAAGCAGTGGCTTGTCCATTGGGTGTCAATGAGAGCAATCCATCGCAATAGTTCACTGTGGGCAATTGGTTTTGCCTATCAGTAGGCCGAAGCTCACGCGTCAGCCTCACAGACCCTCTGGATATTGCTGGTTGTCCAGGCATGGCAGTTTTACATTTCCATCAGCTGGCTCATGAAGACGTGGCAAAGCTGGGTCATTCTCCTCTGTGGATGACGATCCCACAAAACCCTGTCCATCAGCATGTGCAGAAACACCATCAACTCCGCGACACCTGAGTTTGCCACCGTTGCTGCCTTTGCCAACTCCGCGTACTCATGAAGGATACTCATCTCCTCCCTTCTCCTAACGACCACGTTCCTCAACAATACTGACTCATGCGCATGTTTCAGGATGTCACCATGGCCTGCTGCGCAGCTGGTAAATGAACGTGTGGCGCGCACGTGGCACTCAAGGTCACACACCATGAAACAGATGCAGGCTGGGCTGTCAATTGTGTGATGAGGGCCACCGCCCGAGAACCGATAGGGGTGGGCATGGCACCACCTGTCCATGAGGGAAGGGATGGTCTATCGCAACGGACCCACTGTTGTGAGATGGGGTCCAAGCAAGCAGGCATCACAGCCAGTTGAGTTGACAAAATGACAGCAGTATTGCAGAGTTGACAAAATGACAGCAGTATTGCAGCAGTTATCAGTCCAAGCATGACTGCAGGTGTAGACTCTGAAGAACATAGCAGGCGTGCGATGCACCCCTTGGTACGAAGAAGGCAACAGTCAGCCCAGGCAATGGTGTTGGTCGTGCCCCCACAACCTTGGTTTGCAGGAGCGAAGTCCTGACTAACCACCCTACGGCTCACTGATGCTGCTGCGAGCATTTCCACACTCCATCACCTCACCTGCAAAACCGAAACAAGATGGTAATAATGCACATCAGGTTAGATAATAAAAGATATCATCATAGTGGTGAATGGGGTGGTGTGGTGCTAAGTGCTTGGTATGTGGTGCTAGGAGTCATCGGTGCTACGTAATGTGCAGTGGGTGTTATGTGGCGTTGGGTGGAGGGTGTTGTGTGGTGCTGTGTAGTGGGTGTTATGTGGTGCTGTGTGTGGTAAGTGATATCTGGTTCTATGCGGTGCAATGAGGTGCGATGTGGTGCAATGTAGTGCTATATGGGATGGGTGGTGTCCACTCGTATATTATTCAGTGGCTGCTACCACATGTGCTCCCTGACCAATACTCGTATTCGAAAGGTGTTGTAACAGCTCTGCTACCACGTCTGTATGTAAGGGTATGTACTTTGCATTTGGACAGCTACTTGTGATTGTGGCACCAGCCCACCACGTAGGTATGCATTTGTCTCTGAACAGCTACTCGTAGTCACTCACGCTGCCCCAGCTCTGCTACCACGTAGGTATGTACTTGTATTTCCACAGCTACTTGTAATCGTAGCACCAGCCCACCACGTAGGTATGCATTTGTCTTTGAAAAGCTACTTGTAGTCGCTCACGCTGCCCCAGCTCTGCCACCACGTACGTATGTACTCGTATTTCCACAGCTATTTAACCTTCGATTACGTGAGGGGGATGCAAAAGAGTCACCGGTACCTAAACCTATTTTCTCCACCCTCTCATCTTTTCTGACAAGCTGAAAAATGTGTTCAATATTGGGACTATTTGAACTATTTCTACTTTTCATATCCGCACTGATTCAGCAGTAGAATCGTAGATGTAAATGTACACAAAGTAACTAGCAGATGCAGATGTAGATATGCACCATGTGTTGCCAACCCCAACTTCGCCCAGGGGGAAAAGGCAGTTCTTCCCGTGAGTTTCCATTCCCCCCCACTCCACCAACCCTCTCTCTCTCTCTCTCTCTCTCTCTCTCTCTCTCTCTCTCTCTCTCTCTCTCTCTCTCTCTCACACACACACACACACACACACACACACNCACACACACACACACACACACACACACACACACACACACACACACACACAACCACACACACACACACACACAAAATCAGTTTTATGCGTGTCTGTTTTTCCCTCTCTTTTTTTTCTTACTTCCCGTGAGTGCTAAGCAGTGGGTGGTTGGTTGTCTAGAGTGCGGGCAACACTATTAGGGGGCGGGGCTCTGTTCATGATGTATGTGGGAGCATGTTCCATGAGTGAAGACAGACGTTCATCGGAGTGGCTTCCTGGCTCGGAGGGTGGAAGGAACCAACAGTCTGCCGGATTCTACTCGAGGTGCGAGTAGCTGTGGGCTACCTTGTCTTTGCTCCTCCGCTGCGTTGCTGCCCACCCATGTGCCGTGTCTTTACCTGCAGCTTGGCTGTTTGCCGTGTAGATAGGTTGCCTTGTCAGTGTTGCTTTGTGACTTTCTGCCTTGTTGCCTTGCCGCCCATCCGCGTGCCTCGTCTTTCCTTGCACTTCGCTTGTCAGCACTCCCTTGTGCTTCGTTGTGCTTTTGCCTTGCTGCCTGTGCATGTGCACAGTCTTCCCATGCAGTTAGCTCTTGTACTGTGTAGTCGGGCTGCCCCGTCAGTGTTGGCTGGTGCTTCACTGAGTCATTGCCTTGCTGCCATGTTTGGCTTGTGGTGTTGAGTGCCGGCCGTTCACTTTCAACAGGGGTTAAACGAGTCCATTGACTCAGGGCATCAATATGGGGGGTGCCGCAGATCGCCAAGGGTTCAACCTCCTGATGAGCCAGTGCAAGCCCGACGAAACAATCTTCCATCATCAGTTCTGGTTTTTGTTTGTTTTTTTTCGCTCTTTGTTTTTTTAATGTTTTGTGCTTGTTGAAAGGGATTCACGCGGCAGCCACCCAGTCCCGGTCTCAGGGTCCAGGCAAGTTCCCAGTTCCAGGGCGGTCCGGTAGGATAGGTCGTAGGGTCTAGGGGTCCAAAACGTCGTAGGTCGGTAGATGTCAGGTACCGAATCGTCATAGGTAAGTAGAAGTTTGTCCGGTACCCGACAAGAAAAGCCCAGAAGCATCCAGTCCGGTCCGACAGTCCCAAGTCCATTTTTACAGCATGTCCCAGGAAAAGTCCAGAAGGTACCAGACCGACAAAATGTTTGCAGCAGACAGGCCGTGGCCGATCGGTACCGGTCTGAAGCAGGCCAAGCCAAGCAAGGCCAGTCCTATATTTAGCTGCTACACTGCAGTGCTCATCACTTGTTCAGTTGCGAGATGCGGAAGCGCTGCTGCTGCTTGTGCGTTAAGGCAACTTGAGAGCAGCGCACTCGAAGAAGAAGGGGGCGCACGCGTGTGAGATACTCCATAGCAAGGCTAGACGTAGGGTAGGAGGACAGCGGCCATGGCCGCTAAGGTGTGAGCTACCTGAGGGGGTTTATCCAGGGTGACGATTTCAGGATGGAGAGTGAGAGGAAGTGAGGCAGAGCGAACCAAGTAAGAGAGAGTACCGAGGCAAGAGGGGGAGAAAGTGAGAGAGAAGCCATACCCGCCATATGTTTGAGTTCTGCTGTGCGTGTGTGTATGTGTGTGCGGCAAAGCCGCTGAGGACAAACATAAGTGCCACTAATGTACTGCAAACCTGGTGCACCTCCGCTGCTCCATTTTGCCCATTCCTGGACTACAGAACCATAATAGGGCAATGGCCTATCAGGCACTGCCAACCTTTGGCTCCACTTGGTCGAACCTTTCTGCAGCGCCGTGTGAACCAGAACATTTTTGCAGCTAGCTCAGCAAGGTACTGGTGGTTCAAGCATGTGAACGAGGCAGACCTTGAACTCCTATATTGCGGGGACGATATCTTGTGATTGATTGCACACACACACAAAAGTGAACATGACAACACAAGCTCTCTCTCTCTCTCTCTCTCTCTCTCTCTCTCTCTCTCTCTCTCTCTCTCTCTCTCCCCACCATAAGAACTGAGGCTCCACATGGTGGGAATGGTACACATTCTTTGCTGCAAGAGACGGGCCTTCATCAATGACTTAAGAATCATGCCCCTTCCCATCGATGGCCTGGTCATATCGGTTGAAGGGATAGTATGAGCAGTACTCATAACTGACAAGAAGAATATAAAGGTCTTACCTTAAATTGCACCTCTTCTCGCGAGTTTATCACCCTCCTCTCTTCCATGGATTTGGTCCCTCCTCCATGCACATGCTCCTGCTGCTCATCCTCCATCAGGTCGTTGTATTCCGCTCCTGCTTGTCCTCCATGTAGAAGTTTTACCATCTTACCCTTCTCCTCTGGCGTGAGGCACTGTAGCATTCAGCGCACAGTGGCATTCATGCCCACCGTCCTCACCCGAATGCAACATACGGTCATTATTGCTGTATTTAGACTCAAAGATGCCCCAAATACAGCTATAATGACCATACGTTGTATTCGAGTGGAGACGGTAGAGCACCAAGTCCAGACGCACCCAGCGTGCCTTCTTGCATCACGTTGTCTTGCACCCAGTGGCCATCCTGTCACAGGTGGCCCGTCAGGCCCATCTTCTTGTCGGCTCATTGCATCCTCGTCACAAGTAAGTTCAAGTCATTTTTTATTTTTTTTTTGGACCATTTCTCAATTTATGTGTGTCATCCTTGCGCAGGGGTCATGCTCTCCAAAAACAAAAAAACAAACCTTCTCTGTATCATTCCAATTTTAACAGATGTCCTGAAGTCATCCTTCTCCCTATGAAAAAAAATCTTTTTTTTTTGCATATATCTTTTTGTGTCAACAACTCTTTCTTAGCTTCCATAAAGAAAAACGTTTTCGTCTGCATTCCCTATGATGGCATAACAGTTTATAAAACCATCCGACCCACCTATCAGGCCGGTTGTCCGGGCCAGAAATCTCCAAGACCAACTGTCCGGAATCCAAGACAAGTCACAAACAGCTTGGGGAGACATCTGCTCAGCCTGGGACCAGCCTGAGGGCACACTCACACAACCACGTATTTTCACAAAATCGCAAATTTTATGTAGTTTTTCGGGTCACAAGAGGCACGTATTTTGCGTGTTCACACAAAAGGGCACGTAAACGTCAGCACCCTGGACAGCCGCGGGCTTACATATTTTGCGGGGACCTTCAGAAGGTCCCCGCAAAATCGTATTTCTTTTTCCTCTACTTCTTTCTGGAAGCAAAAAAAAAAGGTGCATTGTGCAGTGTGAGTCGGACAACGTATTTTCGCATCTCAAGGCCAGGTCGCGACCCTGTCTTTTCTGCTTTGGGCAACAAACGGGTGACCAGTGTGACCCGCAGGTGCCATATAAACGCAAATTCACATACGTAAAATTTGCGAAAGTACGTGCTAGTGTGAGTATGCCCTGAGACCAGTAAGGTAATTTTACACAAGTCAAGTGAGGAGGTTATTTTGCGCATGTCCAATGGAGCCAAACCTGTGCCTGACCAACAGGCCTAGCTCAGTTGGTACACCAAGTGCAATCAGACTCGCTCACTTCTTCTCTGCGCATGCATACAAACAGATGGTGGCTCACTCTGGCGCATAGCGCCCAACTTAAAGCTCAGAGATATGGAAACCAAGAACACAGTTCAGATGCATACTCGCTCCAACAGGCTATGGTGCATCAGCACCCACCCATCGCAACTCTCGTCACCGTGTCCC